ACATGCAAAATTTAATCACACACATTGTTCTGGACACTCTGACATAATGAAAGGGGACACAAGATGCAAACAATCTTATTTAAACTGCTGGCCACAGAAACCTGGGGAAGCCCATGAGCTGCAAACCTGTCCACAGGAGTCCCAACAAGCCCAGACATGTTCAGCAAAGCCACACCCCCCAGCCAATACTTTTTACCACAAATACACATTCAGTCTCAATAGTTTTTGAACAGACCTTGTACATGCCTGCTTCCAATGTTATCAAAGGGAAATGCTTTTTTTTCACCAGGCAAATTGGGGTAAATTTCAATTAAGTGTTTGTGGGAGACAATATCACAAGTTTCATACAAATATATTGTCTCTACGGTGTTCCTGTGAGATGCTCTATGGTGCTCCTGTAGTATGACATACTTCATACAAATATATTATGTCTAACTGTGCTCCTGCAATCAGCTTCCCATTACACTCCCCGAAAAGGCAGCTGAGTCTTCTGGCAAGACCTAAATAAATCCAGTCTAACTCCTATTGGCTGGGGTACAATTATGCTTAACATAACTAATTTTCAGAAGTGATCCAGACTGACTAATTTGAAAATGTTCAAATTAACCATAAATGTATCTTTTTTTGTTCTTTACCAGTTATCTGTCCATGCCCCAAGTGATCACAGATTTCCTTTTCTCAACCTGAAGACAGATTTTTAAAAGAGCAGGTTAGAATAGAAACTGTAACAGGGTCCAAACAGAAAATATCATTCAGAGAGGTCTGAAACCATCAGAGACTTCCAGGGAGCGTCAGCTATGGGAGTCAGGTTTAGGAGGAAGAAAGCCTTGGTAGCCAACAACACTGGTGGACCAAAATGATAGGGTCTTCCAAAAAACTAAGATAACAGGATACTTTATCAGAAACCACAGCCAAGACTGCAGAGATGAGCCATGCCTCAAGATGCCATAAGAAAGATCAAGAGCCTGAGGCTGAATCTGTTCAGCCTCAGCAAATGGAGGCTGAGGGGAGATTTGGTGACTGCCTATAGACTTGTTAGGGGAGATCAGCAGCAAATAGGAAGAGCCCTATTCTCCCCAGCACCAGCTGGGGTGATAAGGAACAATGGTCAGAAGCTGCTGGAGAATAGGTTCAGGTTAGAGATTAGGAGGCACTATTTCACTGTTAGGGTGGCCAGAATCTGGAACCAACTTCCTAGGGAAGTGGTCCTCACTCCTACCTTGTGTAAATTCAAAAAGAGGTTGGATGAACACCTGTCTGGGGTCATGTGATCCCAGCGTGTGCTTCAACCAGTGGTGGGGGGTTAGACTAGATGATCTATTCAGGTCCCTTCTGACCCCTAACTACTATGAAACTATGAAGATCTCATTTCTTCCTAACAGCTGAGTTGTAAGAAGGCTATATGGGTTAGTAAATCCCACAGGGGATTCAGATTGATGCTGAAGTAGAAAAATGTCATCTTGCCTCATCTTTAGTGAGCCTAAATCTAGATATTCCAGCATCATGCCAGCAATTCACTTACATCTACAACACTTCAATCTACTGTTTAGGTTTTGTACACACAAAACCTAAGGAGATACATTACAAATTGAGCTTGGAAGCCAGATGCTGCAAATGGTACACACAAAATCTGCCCTTCTTGACTGAGAATTAATAAGTATCATTTTACTATCTGGGTCTGCTTAACCTATAGTTAAAAAAAATGGAATGTGATAAAAATATTGGGATCACTGGGATTGATACTGGGATTGATAAATGAAATTGATACTGGGATTGATACATGAATTAAATCTCAAAGGAGTTGGGACATTTTTCTTCTTCAGAAGGTTGAGTGCAATCTGATATTAGTAAAATATCAAAGTAAGTGAAATAGATAAATGAATGCTTCAATAAATTAAATGGTACAGTCCCCTGCATCTCATTGAATTGGATAATAATTCCCTACCAGTAAACAGCAGCATACATAAATAGGCTCAGTTTGCACAGTTTGGCTGTCTTTAAGGACAGGTCTGATCCTATTCTGACTGAAATCAGTAGCCATTTTGCCACTGACCTGAAATAACATGCTTAATATACAGCTGCAAGTGCTTATGCATATGAGTGTTTTATTTAGATTCACACACATTAAATTAAGCACCTGCATATGAGTTTGTGGGCTGGAGGCTTAGCCCTTCATCCTGAAAGCAATTAATTATATGCTTAACTTTAAGTACAGACTTTATCCCCATTGTCTTCAGTGCAAGTGCTCAGTTTTATGAGGATGGAGCTAACTTAAGCTACCTTCACATGATGTTATTTGGTATATTTGTGGATTATACTCATGTAGTAACCTTTTTTCATTATGTAGGGCATTTCTGAAAGAATACTATTCTATGGTATCCAAATCAGTCTATTAACAATATTTTCCTTCAACCTTTACATTTAATAAATAACCTGATTATGAACACTAGAAACAAGGCTTTCAAGCATCTTTGGCTAATATTAGACAGCCCAACTGTATGCAGCTAAATTAATCTTTTTCTCACACACACACACACACACACACACACACATGTGTGTGTGTATGTGTGTAGAATTTTTTTGCAGTGCGCACATGATTTTTAATGAAAGTATCCCCAAAGAACACTGCACTTTAATCATAAACTTTAATTATTATATATTTTCACTTTCCTCAAATCATTAAAGTTCTTGAGTTCCTGTTCAGAATACTCTGGGACATTCCAAGCACCTCTTTGTCTTACTATTTCATTCAATGGTATTCTACACTTGTGGTTGCATTACCTGTATATTCCTCTTGTAAGTCACACATAATGAGAGACAGAGAGACTGTAATTCTGATAGGTTCACAGGCAACTATAAGAATCATAAATCATATGAGGAATTATACCCATTGTCGTCTCATATTTATATTTTCTTAACTCCACCTTAAATTATGTGTTGTTTTATCCTTGTTTTCTACTTCTAACAAATCGCTTTGTCATTCCCACCCTGCTTTATTTTCAAGGAATGACAGCAAGGTATGCAGGTACAGGTTCTCATTATGGTGTGGGGAGTAGGGAAGTATTAATAGCATGAAGTACTGCATCTGAAAAATTACTATTCTCATGTTATTCCAAACAGCAGCACCAGATGAGAAAGCAGACTTTAAAATGAATTAGCATGAAAAGGGAATGGTTTTAGAATAATTATCAAATTGCTTGTATCCTACTTTGTTTACAAGTGTATCCCCTCCATCTATTAAGTCCTTTCTTAACACAAAAGGGAACAGAAGGAGTATAAATATTCCTAGTTTCTGCAGCCCCAGGGGAAGTCAGAGCTGTTTTAACTTGTGCTGAAGACACACAGGCTAGGGACAGAAATTACACGTATACTGGTGTAAGTGATCAGAAATCAGTTCAAATCTGTAACACAACAAAAGTGCACATAAGCGACTTTCAAAATGGCTGAAACTGGTTTAAGATAAACCTGGATGGATGTAATATCAGACTTAACTGATTTAAGTTAAATTGGTTTATTGAATTTCTGTCCCAAATCTCTTCCAGATTCATGTAGCCCAGCATCCCAGGATGCTTTGCACCTCTCCCACAAATCCCCCTTGCAAGGTAGCTGGGCTAGCCTTGGCCCAAGTTGTCTTCTCCAGCCAGTCAGGGAGGCATGCTTTAGCAGCACATGGCTATATTTTCAGAAACAAAAGTAAATGTCTGTTAACTTATCAGTTCAATCTACAGATTTTAAACTAACCTGCAAACAGTGAATTGATTCAGCCTTGGGCTTTTTGACTGTCTGTACTTAGCCATAGTGCTTAACGGGGCTACATAAGTGGAGGACAGCTATTGGAAGTAGACTTCCACTACATTTACTCCCCACTTCAGTCTGACCATGATACAACCCTTCCTTCTCACAACTGGCCATTAATTCGAAGAGTAAGAATGTACAACTTAGAGACAGTACATTTATGCTAGCTGGAGGTTATTTTCCACAAGGGAATTCACTTCAGGACAGACTGTCACAGAATCATTGGGTTGGAAAGGGACTTTAACAGTCAAGTCCTTCCACTTGGATATATACCAGATTCACTTTTCCTAAACTCATCCAGGATAGGTTCCTCTCAAGCTTCATCTTGAAAACTACCAATGAAGAAGATTTTACAATTATTCTAGGCTGTTTTTTCCATGACCCTACTTTTTTCACAGTTCAGAATTTTCTTCCTAATTTTTTATCTAAAGTTGTTTTTTTGTAATTTGAACTCATTGCCTCTGTGACAAAGGAGAACAATGTTCCTTCAACTTATTTATGACAGTCTTTCATATATTTGAAAATTGCGCTCATGTCTCCTTTGCTTCAAACTAAACACAACCAGTTCCTTCAACCTTTCTTCATATCGATTGCATCCACATATAAAACTCACTTTTATCCATTTTTCTTATAAGAATGCATGGGTAATGATGTAAAAATCCTTACTACAATTCCAGAATTATGTTAATGTCCTTTCCCTTATAACAAAAATAGTTACATTTTCATAAAAGAAAATGTGTTCCTAACAAATAGATGTTGACTGCTACTGGCCATCCCTTCATCCTCCTTAGCTTTGTGAAATAAAAAGTGCACATAGCCATAAGAGTGCAGAAGGATGAGATCTGATTATCCAATCCACCTCTTGGATGCAGTCTTGCATACCTTTTCCCCTCTGAGTTCCTCAAGTGCAGTTAAAAGTGATCACTTGTAATGATCAATGGTCAGCATCTTGCACTGAATGTTCTAGATCTCAAGGACTTAAAATAATATGGACATTAGAAGTACTAAATCTTTCATCAATTTCCCATTTCTCCTTGAGCATTCTTACTTTGCAATAATAAAATCATCATTTATAGTCTTCTTCCCTCAGGTCGATAACAGATATCGAGAGAAAAATTACAAAACTTGTCAAGCTAGCCAGGTTACTATTAGAATAAATGTATACTGATTTCACATTTGCATCTACTTCTTTTATATATATGCAGGTACTTCATAGATTGGAAGAGTGATGTGGACAGCTACTTTACAATAGATGCAACTGAAGGAACCATTGCAACTAATGAATTATTGGACAGAGAAAGCACCGCCCAGTATAATTTCTCTATAATTGCAAGTAAAGTTAGTAAGTACAACATAAGTTGAGCTTATTTTATAATGCAATGATTTTAAAAATATAGTGTTCAGATATGAGTATTCACTAATTATTTTTATTGTGAAATGATTTTAAAGGTATGTAACATGGATCTGTTTCTAAAGACTTAATGTAAATGTAAGTATCAAATTTGGACAGTCATTTTCAATAGGATTTGGCCACCTACTCAGTTTGCAGGCACAGTTTCTCTGAAGTTTACGGTTTTACCAGTAGATCGAGGTTGGAGTTTGAAGATATTAGAGTATTAATTTTATGAGAATGTTGAATATGAAAGTTCAGTGACTAAACCCTAAAGAAATAATTAAAAATTGTGATGTAACAATTGTAGTTTGTATCTATTACACTATACACTTGGGATGCATTCATTCCCAACATACCTTTCATTCCCAAAGCATACCTTTAAACATCTATGCTTATGACTAAAGAAAAAGGGAAGAGGAAAGAAAAAAAAAACATACTGGCGGAAGCAGGAGGAGGGCAATCGAGCAGGGGGCACCACATGCATGTACGCATGCACACATACACGTGGTAGCCAGGCAGTGTGGAGAACAGCTCCTGAAGCTCCCTTCAAGTAAGTCTATGTGGTGAACAGTAAATTTGAGGCTCCTATGGTGAGGGAGGGATGGAGAGAGGGAGGGAGTGGGGCAAGGCTGGTGCTGGGGGTGCTCCCCAATTGGGCTGGTGCATGGGGCCTGGGGCTTAGTTGGGAATGCAGGGCCGGTTGGGGGAATAGAATGGAGCCATGGGTAGCTTGTCTAGGGGGCTGTGGGGAGGGCTGGCTCCCTGACACTGCATGCACTGGTGGGGAGAGAAGCATGGGGGGCCATGTGCCCCCTAGACTTGTGCATGGGATGGGGGCATATGCAGGCTGTCTGCTCTGGGGTAAGAACTACCCACCCTGTTGCCCTCCATCATTTTTGGGTAAAAAAAAATGTCCAATGTTTCTGATGTTTAAATGGGGTCATGCTGATAAAAGGTTGGAAAGGACTATTCTAGGAACTTCCTTCATCTCCTTGTATATTAAACAACCTTACTAAATTTCAAGTTTTTTATGCACTATACCTCATTCTTGATCCTTATTATAGTTATTGTAGGTTTATATTACCCTTTGAAAAACTCATTTTGGTCATTAGACAGTCAATCTGAAAGCCATAAAAGTTGTGTTTTTTTTACTTCATTTCACTGTGCAGCAAGGACCCTTGCAGCATTTTTCATCCATACTCCATTGTTTATCCATCTTAGAATGTAAATTCCTAAGGCTGGAATATCTAATGCACTGCTTAGCACTCAGCACTCAATAAATAATAGATTTTAATAACACAGTGGCAGAGAAATGCATTTATTTTTAAGAATTACTCCAGTTAGAACAAAGAGTAACAGACAGGAAAGGAATTCTTAGATGTAGTTACTCCCAAGTAAGCCAGAGGATTACCCCCATAGGCAAAGGTTATATCATAAAAAGAAAAGTCAACTGAAGGAGTTAGACCATCAAGTATACACTCTGAATCAATAAATATCACCCTTAGCTTTGTGTGGGGAATGAAGTATATTTTCCTGGATCATTAAAAAAAAAAAGAAAAGAATGAAACTAGTAATCCACTTCCAGAGGAGTTGAAAGATATGTAGATATGATTCTGCAGAATGGAAGTTTCATAATGGTCTGTGCTTCAGCAAAGCATAACTATTGAGATTTATTGATAGTAATGTGCCTTTGAAATTTGCAAACTTTTCCTTTAGTAAGACATACATTCAAATGAACACGTATTATTCCCCAAAGTAATTGAAAGCCAAATTAAAGAACACAGGTTCACATGTTTTTGTACCAACATGGTGTATA